CTTCCAGGGGCCAGAGACTATCTCAGTGCTGCATCATTTTTCCTTTGTCTCTGCCTGCAAGTCACTAACTGCTTGTAGTGGATAGGTTGGCATCCATTATGAAGCACATTGCTGTTTGTATTGGAGATGGATTTTAACTCGCTCTTCTGCACCTCTCCAAGTGTGCTGCTTTCTCAACAATCTCAGCTCTTCTAGTCTTCGATTCTTTTTCAGAGTAGAGTGTTATCCTCAGCATTGCTGGGTGCAGACTCAAAACCTGAAATCAAGGAGGTTAAAAAGCAGAAGGCAAATCAAATAACTCAAATATTATTTCTAAGCCAGTCTCATTATTTTTGTGCCATCTTCTGTGCTTTCTGGATCTCAACAAGACTAATGGGCTTAGTCAAATCCGTAAAGAACTGTATCCTCTAATTGTCATTGAACTCTGCTCTAGTGAGGCAAAAAAGTCAACCTAGACCCTTGAACTACTACATGGTACTAGCACTCCAAACACATCTGCTGAGTTTTCATTTCCTCTGAAAGAAAATATTATACAGCTTAACCAGTGCTCTGTTTGTAGATACTACTGTAATGATTAGCTACATTCCACTTCAAACTGTCATTAATATTCCCCATATGTGATTAATGCCTCTAATTCTGCACAGAGATTTCATGACAAACAACCAGCTGTCTGTCTTTTTATTTCATTGTGGTTCTTGAACTCTTGGCTCAGGTTATGTGTTTCTGGAATGTCAAATAAAGAATTTACTTTTCCATCCATCAGTTTACACTCTGCGTGCAGTTTGATGGCATCTTGCTAATACAGCCTGGTTGCACTGTAATTCACCTTATAATCCATTGTATCAACACTGACTGTTCAATGTGCAACTTCCTAACAAGGTGGCTGGTGCCTCTTAGGCACTGTAGTACCTTGGGAGAGTGGTATTTTAAAATGTATGCCCAGCAAGAAGGCTCTCTGGCTTGAAGTTCCCAACTGTCACAATTAGATAGAACTTCCTTCACTAGAAAAAAGCAAAAGAAATACTCTGCTCAGGCAAAAAGGTGCCCATCTGCTTCAGAACTGCCTTTCCACACTAGCATATCCCAGATTTCACATCTGAGATGTTCTTTTGAGTAATATGGAAAGCTTTTGTTGCCTCCAGGCATCCCCTATGTGTCAGCAGCGCACGACTTCTCTTTTGGGCAATTTCAATACACAGATTGGATTCTGCTAATTATTTTGTCTATTATTTCTTTTGATGCCTTGGAAATAGTAAGAAGCTGGACCAGCACAAAGTGGTCCTGGCTGTTGTCTGCAGAACAGGCCCAGGATGCTGGCATTCTCCTCACCTGCCATTGAGTCTACAGACATCCGACCGTACCGTATGGGTGTTCTGCTCTACCTGCAGATACAATAGAGATCCAATGGTACATTTACAAACCCTTTGAAATCTCCTGGTGAAGGTGATATAATAAAAGACACCATAAGATGGGCATATTGTAAGGTAGGTACTGTGTTGCTGGTGATACACTCTACTCAAGTGTTAGGGTCTAGGCCTCTTCTGAATAAACCGACATAGAGTTCACAGGTACTGCCACCAAATTTTAGTCCAAAATATGCCACATGAAATTCACAGCAAATCAGCAGGTAAGATGACTAGAAGTTGGATGAAATAAGGCTCTAAAACAGTGCTAGATTTCAGCAGACGTCCTTATGCCAATAGATAGTAACTTCCTGTAAAGTACCACTTGCAGGAAAACAGTTGGTGACTCACATGGGCTGGACTTAAAAAGCGAAAGAAAATGATGCACTTTGGCAAACGCCCTCTGCTGTCACCATCAACAAGAGATTTCTCTACATAGAGCACTGACTGCAGTGTTCCAGGTCTTCTGTAACACATGTGAGGCCTTAATCACATTACAGGAAAAGTTTTGGTCTGAAATGCAGTGTCTTTGTAAGCCTGACTGAAAGCAGAACTGAAAACCATTGTCCAAAAAGATTTAAAATATTAATTTTGTTCTGTGATCTATGACTCTCCTATCCCTCAAGTGAATCTGTTAGCACAGAGAGCAGCAGACATACGCAGTGTGGTTGACTTCACCTTGTGCACAGATGTAGTTTAGATAGAGCATGGGAGTTTGCCTTGACCTTCCTTGTAAAAGAAAGTTTGGAAGCTAGGAAACTATTGGCAAGGTCAATGAAACAAATAGAAAATACCCTGAACAACCAAGTTGAGCTCCAGTGTTACCCTGATATACTAGTGAGTGTTCACAGTCATTCATCTATTTGTCAGTTAACTATGGTTGTTCAGATGTCACCAAGAACGCAGGGGTAGCTCTCATTAACCCCAAAAGAAGATGACATCATTTTGTTTACATCTGGCACTCAGGATACTTTTTAGGAAACAATCCAAGGCGCAGTTTCTTAGAAAAAAAGCCTACCACTGTTTGCAGTACTTTCCATCCTTTTTATACTTACTGAGCAATGTACTAATGGTAAACCTGCACATGCAGCTCTGTGATATGGTAGACGTCAGCTTGCAAAAAGCAGGAATTGGTAACCCAATGCTGTCCATGAAGCAGCATCCATCTGCACTTGGGATGGTGGGGCAGTCTGACCCATCAACCACCAGAATGCATGCCTGGTAAGTGTCTGACAAGGTGGAGGCAGGTACTTGATAAGTGCTTAAAGTGCTACCAAAGCAAAAAGTGTCACTGTAGTCAAGTTCTAATAAAATGAAATAAAATCAAACAATTTCTCAGCTGGAAACTAAGAATCTCTGCTGCTTTTGTCCTGCTAAACAGAATATCTATATTTAAGTATGGCAGAGGCTGAGCAAGATGGGATAGATAAAACATGTTACAAGGACGCTCTGGTTCTGCCTCCTTCAGAGAGTCAGTAAGACCTTCAACGTAATTCCTTCTTATGGGAATTCAGAACTCTAAATCTGAAAGATCAGCTTTTATTTCCCCTTCATACACCAATCTCAGCAACATTGGTAGCCACAGCAGCCACACATTTTGGAGAAGACACACAGCCGCAGCTGTAAAGCTGACTGTTGTTCAGGGAAGTCGACACAGAGCTGTGGATCTGCTCACCTAATGTATCTGCTTTAATCTGTGGGTCTCATATCATCATCTCTGTCACAACATTTTATTTATCTGCCACAGCTGGAACTGGTAATAACTTCAAAGGGAAAGATGTTGCTTCTGCTACAACTGCAGCAGTGCTGGTGAAAAAAATTAAGATGAAAAAATTAAACGTGGGGGAGAAAAGGGAAAACTGAAAGGGACATGCAGAGAACCAATAACCTGGAGGCCTGCAAGCCTCACAAATTCAGTATGAAAAGCTGTCTGTTAGTGCCATCTTGTGGGATCAGAGCCACCCCCACCCCTTGTCTTAGAGACAAGATTCCACCAAGGTGCAGCCTCACCTCATACCTTCCTGGCTTGCAGCACAGGGGCCTTCCATCAGACAATGCTGAAGCTCAGCATATATATCAGGCATGATATCCTACCTGCGGTCACTTAAGCAAACAAGAACTGTGTGCTGGGGAGAGGCACCAGTCCAGAGGCATCAGAAGGACTCTCTGACCTTGTCTGCCACATCTGAACAGAAACCAGGCTGCAAAGTCAGCACAAGGATGAGCAAGGAGACTTGTCCACATGTTGAGCTACACCTGTGCAAGAGGATTTCTGCCATCCTTTCTGGAGCACACTTCATGTCCTCATTAAGTGCCTGAATCATCATGAAGTAAAGTATTAGCTACATGCAGAGACTTTCAGTCTGGGGCACCTTGCTCAGACTGGGGTATCCTTTATATCAGGTACTGAGTGTGGGAGCTGGAGGAACCCAGTTTCCTTCCCCATCCATAGGCCCTATCCCTCGTTCTGAGGCAAGATGCAGACTTTGAGAGGTGAGTGTGAAATCCAGGCAGATGGATGGGCAAGCAGAATGCTTTCTGTCCCATTTTGGCTGCTGAGAGTGAGGAGAAAGAGACAAAGGTGAAGTCAGCAATAGCAGCAATGGGCCAGTTATTTAGTGTGAGGATGGGATAAAGCTGTCTTGGCAGCTGCCTCTCACGTTTTCCCTGGGTGCTTAGCACCATCACATTTTATGTCCAAGCCTGTGCAGATGGGAGGGAGGAGATGCAATGCAGAGGCTTAGGGTGGGAGGGCAGTGATGGAGGGTGAGGTGCACAGGGGATTACTTTGAGAATCAAAGTGGGCAGAAGGAGAAGGCTATTTTTTTTCAAAGAAATCTCTTTCTAATGCTATCAGTCCCCATGGTTACTCCCATGGCTGACATCTGCCTTTTCCTATCCACAGGTATTATGATTGCCTCATTTCTTCTCTGCCTGAATTTCCTTCGGGTCTTCATACCCCTTATGCTCTTCTCATTCAGCTTTGTACTGTTCTCCCAGCTGCAGCTGTAACACCTCTCCTGGCTATAAGTACTATAAGTATGCTAATGTTCATAACAAAGTTGGAAAAGTAACACAGAGTCTGAATAAGTGTTTATTTCCTTAAAAAGTAGATTAGGCTGAGGAAAATGAATCTCAATGTATTGAGCATTTTACACAAAGCAGGATCTTTGCCCTGTGGATGTTACCAGCTTTGTAAATGACGTAAAGTCAGTGTGTGAGGGGTGACAGATGTGGAATAACTAAACTGTGCAGTTTCTTGGCAAATTTATGTACACTACAACATTTAAAGTGTTGTATTTACGTATGTGCTCACACAGTGAAGGCATCCCAATTGAAAGATCTCTGACCTTTGCATTCAGTGCTGCAGCAAGATCCAGATTCAATTTTGTAAGACCAGTGGCATTTTTGTGTGAATTTTGTAGTAATGTTTACATTTTACAGGACAGTACGCTCAAAATGAAATATTAACAACACAGGACCTTCTTATTTTGGCAGATGTTTACTGACTTAAAATCAGGGTCTGTTTTTAGTGCTATTTAACATGACTCAGATTTCGAAGAGTACACATCTTTTATCCTCCCAAAGTGTGAGTGTAAAACCACTGAGCTTTTCAGCTACATTCCCATGTAGGAAAAAAGCTGGAGAAGTGAAATTGTATTTATATCTATAAAGTTATTGATAAATTGATAACAAAGCTACGTTTGTTAGATGGGTATTGAACTGCTTGATAAGGTGCAGCTTCTTGTATTAGTGGGGAAAGACCTGTAAATAACTTCATGAAAAGCACAATCATTTACTAACGCTCTCATGGTATGGTCATTTTCCCAATGAATCCACTGCCAACAGTGAAGTGTGCACCTGGCATTTCTAATACCATATGTCAGGATCTGCGCTAGAATATGTTAATTTAAGTGACAAAGGATTAACAATTTGGCCAGCAGGTGCACCTTCGTGTGGTCTCTATTTTTCAGTCAGGCATCCATTCAGAAGATGTCTCTTAAGAAAGAATATTAAGCAGACAGTAGCTTCATGCAGTTGGCAAATCTCTTCCCTTTCTAATCTGCATGCACCAAACTGATAGGGATTACCTGCAGTATTTGAATTCGGATTGGAAATGCTGGGGATATGCATAAAACTTCCTATGAGTGTTATCAGGATGGGATGTCTTTGATATCCACTAACAAACAAAAGCCTTAATCCCAGATCTTGGATATACCAGCTTGAATCTGAAATAATTCCTCTGATTAATGCCATGGAGAATAGAACATGCCCTACCGCTGCTGGTTTTCTTCAACATTCAGTGGCCATTTCTTATTACCTTCGAAAGGAACAAAAATAAGCCAATATAATTTTAAAAAGCCTCCTCTTTTTGTGTTTGTATGATATCTTAAAGGAAAAGCTATGTACAAAGAAGAGTTCCGGTGCTGGAAAGTATTACTAGCTAGCAAAGACCTGCTCATGTGAAAGACATGTCTAGCTGTTAGTATGCTGTAATGCATAGCCATTGTTATACACGTAATTACTGTAACTCATCCAGTCATCTGCACACTGATATTCTTGATTAGACTGAATGTATGGATGATAAACTGTTTCTTTTCCCAAGAAATAAGATGGAGCGAGTCTCTTTAAAACAACAGCACTGAACTGGTATGTCAGCTTCCTTCTAATTTTAACTATTTCACCTGTTCTTCCATAATTCCTCAGTGCTCTTGCCATTTTCTGATATGTCATGATCTTGCGGTTTCCCTTCCTTTCTCCCCAAAGCTCTGCAAGTTTCTCCTTGTTTTTGGAGACAAACTGGAAGATGCCATTGGGCTTATCCACCCACTGGATGCAGTTTGCCATAGCTGGATCATACAGAGACTCATGGAGGTACTCGAACAGTCGAAGTTTTTTTCTACCTATTAAGAAATAAAGTACAAAAGTCAGAATAGGACTCATACTTGTTTCAAAAGATGAGCAGTTGTCTTCTTCCTGGAAAGGTTCTTATAGGCAAAGGCACAAGTAAACCTACCAGCCTGTCACAAATGAAAAGAAGCCACTTCTATGAGTCTTCAGACACATGTTGTGGAGATACATGGTCAAGGAACCCATACCAGGAAATTGCATCCTCAGACAATGCAACAAAGAGGTTATGGAGAGCTAACCTGAATGGTTTTGAATAAATGTTTTCCCTTTGCTTAACTAAAACTCACAGATGTTGAGATGATTCAATTTTGCGAGATTTGTTTCAGGAATGTTTTGGGGCTGCAAGGTAGTCTCTGATATAAGAAAGGGTGAGTGGGTAAGCAAAAAGAGCAAGCTAGTTTTGAACCATAAACCTCACCTAGTCAATAAGGATGTATTTATTGAGGTACTTTCTGGTACCTTGCAGTTTTCTAAAAATGTGGAGAAGTGCCAACTTGCATTCCCATGCAAAATAAAGCAAGCTCTGTACTGCAGTATTTGTCAGTTAATTGTGTGCTTCTCCCAACAGGCTCAGCTCTCAAACTTAAGTTTACTAGTGAGGTTTATTTAGTTTCACTTAGGTCTTTCTCTGAACTACTTCCAGTTCCCTTCACAAAGCCAAGGGTGAACAAGAAGCTGCTGTAAGGAGGAATTTAAGATTGTGAGACAAAGAGGAACATTTTGCAGAAAGGAGACTTTATGCAGAAGAACGGCTTCCACTTTAACCAAAGTGGAAACAAGCAGCTGCACCTAAAGTTCATAAAGTCTTGCCTTGCATGGCTATTTTAAACTAGGACTGAGGGAAAAGTGACAGTTGCTAAGGAACACTGAGGTCAAGCCAAGACATCTGCTAGGGATGACAGTAATTCTGCATCTGGTGGTAAGGAAAGAGGGGAGAAGTGACAGACTGGGAAGAAGAAGAGCCTGAAATCAGAGGTACTTTCCAAAAATTAATAAAGTTTCATTATCTAAATAAAAATTGGTGTGTGACTAGAAGTACACAATCTACTAGAAATACATGTAGCATTACCAAAAACTGGACAGTAACCACTCTCACTAACCACTTCTTAGTAACTAACCTCCCTAGGTCCCCTCCAAGCTGAATTATATTACAAGCCAATGAACGTACCATAGAATAAACAATTTTAGGGGAAAATGTGCAGATTACTGCAAACTGGTCTCTGCTGGAAAATGATAGTATAGTCACGTCTGCAGCAACACCTGATTTCGTGCTTAGTTTAGCTGTCATTTCTGCCCAAGCTTTTATTTCTAGATACATCATCTCTAGCTCATGTCTTGGTTTGAGAGGGCTTATTTGCTCTTATGTGTTAATGCAGCTATGTTTCTGGAGTCCAGCTGTTACCTCCAAAGAGCTACACAATGTGGATGCACCAGTCTGAGCTGGGGTTAGTTCACAGATCTTTGTACAGCACCACATTGCATAAGCTAGTGGTGTTCATTAACAGGTACTAAACATGAGTCTAAGCTATCAGGCTAGTGTCTGAAGGTTCCTTATGTGGTTGCGGGAGGCAGGCAGGTTCCTCTAGCAGGTGTTTCAGAGCATCTGCATTAGATTTCTGTGCTGAACTGTCCCAAAGAAATCTAATTCTCTGTGTATGTCTCATTCAGATGCATTTCTGGAGTACCTCTCTTGATCGTCTCCACCCACCGAGCTTTCATTCAGATCAGGGAATGGTCTTGATGTACGTGAACTGGACTCCTTGCAGATGAAACCTGAAGCATATCTAAGCCACTGCAGATTTCAGAATGTGTGGCCAGCATAGAGATTGCCCTAAATAAACCCTTGTGAAACACTTTGAACATAGACTTCGGGTCATCAGTGGTGATTATTTCATCTACAGATCTATTCTGAAAGGGCCACGCTATTTGCTAGTGTATGGGAAACCTCTCATGTCACAATAAGAAGCCAAGAGGACTACATTTATTTAGGTATAGTGGAAACAGTCTCACAAATGAGTTTCTGGCAGAAATATCACTATGGACACAAAGAAACCCATAAGAGGACACAAAATACTCCATACGAGTAGTCAGTCATTCTGAAAATTCATCCAGTATGGCCTTCTGGTAAAGAAAATTGATAATAACATAAAAGAAATAGGAAATAGGAAATGAAGTAATAACTGAAGGTGAATTCAGATGCTGACATGTAAAATTCCCTAATGCAACACTGCCTAATACCTATATAAACAACATTTCTGGATTGAAAGATGTTCATTTGCAGTGGTGAATTTAAAGTACTAGAAGTACAGAACTTAAAAGGAGGGGCTACTCTTCGCATCATCACACAAAATTTTTAGTAGTAGTAGTAGCTATTAAGCAACAGAAACCACAGTGTTCAGCATCAATGGGAACAGATGATACCAAAAACTGACACCATGTGGTTAAAGTTGAAAGAAGGGGATTTCAAAAAGCAGCAAACCCAGGAAGCTAGTAAAAGACTCCACGGTCAAAAGTCAGTACAAAAACTCAGAGTGGAAGCTATGGAAATCTCATCTAGCAAAGTCACAGAAAGATGCTGAGCCCCAAACAAAAAAGCAGATGAATTCAATAAACAAATATAGCATTGTAATGACAAATGCTACCCAACCTATTTGCAAAACAGATACCCACTCAAGTAAAGTCAACCAAAAGGAGCACAAAATAACTATAAAAATGCACACTGTAGGTGACAAAAGCTAAGATGCAATTTGAAAAGTAAACAAAGAAAGGCATAAAATTAGGTGAAAAATTATTCTTGTTTGTGAAAAACCTTCAAGAAAACCACTACTTGTTGAACCACATAATATAAAATAAGTTATTAAAGATGTTATTGATTTACTTCTCTGCATCAGAGTTCATTCCAGATGATTTGGAGTGAAAGACATTTCTCGTTTGTATTTCCATGTACTAAATGAGAGGACAGAACAAGACAATAACAGATTTATGAGATTTATCAGATTGGAATTGAACATTAGCAGTTGTACTCTAGCTAATATTAAATGATAATCTATCTTTTCCTGTTAAATAAAAAAAAAAAAGAAAAAGAGGAAAAGAGAAAGCATGATTTGACAAGAGATTTTTTTGAAGTAGCATAATGTACGTATCAAGATATGCTCTTTCTACACACCTTTCCCTGCTTTTGGCTGGCCAGCAGCAGCATGCATCACTTGGCTTTCTGGAGTATTCTGCAGCATATGGTAGACAGTCTCATCTGCATAAAAATCAGCTGCACTGTTCTTCAAGAATTAAGACAACAAAGAGTTACTAATAAGAAACATTCTCTGAGTAAAACGAAACTCATAGCTATTAATTGCCTGAAGCCTTCAAAATGCAACTTCTCATCACCTCACCAATGGAAGACTTTTCTCAGCCACAAAAGCATGTAGTGTACTGTACCAGTAACAAGCAGCACTAATTTATGTCCAGTGGGAAGGACTGCCCACCATCAGAGAATTTAAGAGGGAAAACAGAGTAAGTGCCTCACTCTGGACCTTCAACCCTTCTGCTGGGAGCAGAAGAGGAACAGTGGACTCTGATTACTAAGATTACTTCTAAAAAGTGACTATGTATGCTTTGCAAACATTTCCCAAGGCAATTTCATCTGAATCATGCCTGGCCTCACCAAAGTTCTCTTAGAACTAGCATAATGATTTGTATTAGAAATCTCAAATGGGCAGCCAATTCTCCATTTATATCTGACTCTTATTAGTAACCATTTCACTTACAATCACATTTCTCCAGCTATACCCTTGCTCCTCTGGTGCTGCAGAGTAGCTGGGACTTGCTCGGAGGTGGTGGTGATGGTTGATCACAGTCAGGCAACTTTTACAACCTAAGAATTAGGAGGATGGGGTGAAAATTGAGTGAGTAAAAGGAAGAGAAAAAGGGGGGGGGGAAAACAGGGGCAAATAATCTAACACGTTACTGGGTCTGTCAAAAAGCATTTATCTTATGGCTGCCTCCTAGAAAATAAAGTCTCCAGAGCCAAGATGTTCCCTAGCAGCAGGTTATCCAACAGAATCTGTACTGTTACTGATAATCACACCCTTGGGCTGGTTTTGTTTGCTTTCACAAAAAGCAATATTTCATAAGATAAAATCTCAGATAATTTATAGTGTCATGAAATAGTCTGGTTAATGGAAAAAGGAGGGCCAAACATAATGAATGAAACGGAAGAATTATAGACTACTGTAATATGTGTATTAGAAAGGAAAAGGGAATGTTACACAGTTCTGCAGGCCATTTGTACAATTCAAGTCAGAGTCTCCAGTTGTGAAGGAGCATCAGAGCATCTGCAGTGCCTGAAAGAATGACACAGGAGGAACCCAACATCTTAGGATGTTCAAAAGAAGCAGAACACCAGACTGAGGCACTTGGAATCAACTACGTACTGTGGGTGGTCAGAAGAAGATTAGGGAGGGTACATATATTGCGAGTGGAAACATGGGTGCAGCTGTGGGACATCCTAAACACACAGTTGCAAGTGTTTTTATACCTCTCTCCATTGGCCCACACAACAGATACAGGCAAGAACATTGCAAATAATAATATATAGTGGGTCCTTCACCATGTGTAAATTACCAGTGCAGCTAAGCCAAAAATGTATTAAGAACAGCTGAAGATATGGCCCAATTGGTCTTATTTGCATTTCAGTGTGTAATAGATAATATGTAAACAAACCCTCATGTGAAATGCATTCCACACAAAAGACAATAGATATTTTATTCTGGACTTAGATGGTTTGTGGCTTAGCTTCTGTTTTCGTTTGCTTTTATTTCTATTTCTATTTACAATGCAATAACACCAAACACAGATTTAAAATTTTGTAACAATTTAATTGCCAAAATCTTGCCTCAACTGCAACAATTTACGCCTTGCTTGTGTTTGAAGTTCTGTAAAGTATAAAACTCTTGAAGTCAAGAAAAAACATTTTTTCTATTGATTATCCAGAGTAAAACTATCATTTCTGCATAAAAATATTTAAAATTTATATTTTAATGTTAAAAAAAAATTATGAAACTAATTTCACCTGTTGGATTCTTGGTCTTTCTCCCCTTTCCCCCACTAGATTTCACTCTTATATGAGTTTATTCCCAGTATAACAGATGGGCATTTTTCAGTTACAACATTAATAATGGAAAAGAGCTGATGCACTATGGTCATATATCCTCTGATTACAGGAAAAAAAAGAGCCCAATGCACCTCGGGGCTGAGGGGAAGGTAGAGAGGAACTATGCAACACTTTCCCTGTGCTGTGATATGGATGATGCACACCACACCGGTCAGTACTAATGGAGGGGTGGAAACTCTTCAGATATTCTTCCCCCTTTCCATCCTCCCAGCATATCCCTCTGTTGGCCATCAGTTCACCTCTGGGAAATTTTTCACCCTCCTATGTACTTCAAGATGTATTTTCTTGTAAAAATACAAAGCGGTAAATGAAATGGAATAATGGTCTTTTTTACCTGGTGAATACTGCATTTCTCTGTCAGAATGCTGCTGCAGGACTTCTAGCACATCTTCGAAAGCCTGGCCCAGTACATCTTGATCAGGAAAACTCTGCAAGAACATTTTTCCGTCAGAAGTCTGAAAAGACCAGGCCAGTCCTTTCAACACTGTCAGTCAGAAAATCACAAATAAATAAAGTGATTATACGGAATACACATCCTCCTGGAATATGTATTTTGCAGGCACTGAGGCATTACCATAATCATTTAATATTATGAGAAAGTTCTCACTCCTTTGAGAAGTCTCTTTGAGGTCAGTGGGACAACTCATATGGGTAACATCACTCACTCGTGCAAATGTTTCAAGGTTCATTTCCTTAATTTGCAGCAGAAGTTTACATAGGGTGTTACTGCTGTTGGTCTGTTTTATAGTATATAATTCAGAGGTATCTATCACTTGTGTAACATGATTTATGCAGCCAAAGTTGCCATTCAATAAAACTGACATGACAAAAATTATTATGCACAAGTTATGCAGTGGTTATGCAGATAAAATGCTATACTATGACAGTATAGGAAACCAAGTGTGGATTCTCAGAAAATTGTTTATCATAATTTTAGAACATCTTGTTCTAAACAGCTAATCCCCCCCCTCGAATCTGAGTTTGACTAAGTTTTCTATATCATGATTGAAGCACTCAATAATGAAAGAGAATAAAGGCATTACAGACTTACCATCATTTAGATATCAAAACTGGAATCCTGTTAAATAAACAATATTTTAAAAAATCTTACGTACCAAACTAAACAATCATTATTTTAGTATACATAAAAATTATATTAAATATTTGCATTATTTCCAATTATGAAATAAGATTATTTAATAACACAGATAAAAGCAATTTAGGATTAAAAAGTGGTATTTTAATGAAATTAAATACTTCAAAAATGTTTTTAATTCAGAATGTTTTTCCTTACTAAAGTTTCCAGTTTCATTAATATTGTAACTTTTAGATTACAATCCGCATCATTATAAACACATTTTTAAAGACATTACAAAGTGAAAATTTGTTACTGATGACATTCAACCCTCGTCAACACAACTAATAAATTCCCAAAGAAAATACTGACCTGAATTAAGCATGTTTGTCCCTTTGGTTTGCAGACACGGTTAAAACAAGCTTAGTTTTTTTTCATAATGCAGATTAGCATATGATGGTTTATGAATATACATAAACTCTCAGGCTAATTGTGGGTTCCAGAAGCAGGGTTGATTATTTAACAAACAGTGAAAATAGACACATTCTCAGCCAGTTTAACGTGGATACAGTATACAACATTACTCAGAAACTCATTCCTTAGTGTCCTTTTATTTATTATTTACAGATTGGAATAATCAAGTTTTGTTGCCTTACAGGTTTTTTCCTGTTCTCTTTTATTTTATTGTCTCAAAATTCTAAATACAATAATCAGTATTTCACTAATTAAACACTTTATTATAATCTCTTGAAAATACTGCATATTTTGTCAGTGATTTCAGCAAATGCAAGATTGGTCTCTATGTGATGTTTCAAAATACAAAGGAGGGACAAGATACATAAATATAAATGAGGAAGAATTTTATCCAAGAATAACTATGAATATTCTAACCTAGTAATTATGCCTCTGTTATATTGTCAAAATTCAGAATTTTTTTTTGTAAACGTTGATAACCAATCATTTCAAAATGGTGAAATCTGGGTGATTCAGTAAACTGACCTCACTGAAGTAGATGGGATTCTTCTCTTCAACTTCAGTTCAGCAAATATTTGATAAAATGATTTAATTTTGTTGTAAAACTTGAATGGGCTACATTAATCCTTTAGCTGCAAAGGTGGACACAGATTCTTCTGGTATAGAGCCGCAGACATGTCCTTTGTAAAGATCCTCTCTTAGTTTCCTTCTAATTTTAAGTAATTAATTCTCCTTAAACTGCTTTTAACTCAACCTTCAAACTGATACTTGCTAACCTTGACAGAACATCTACAGTCAGTGTTGATGCCTTTCAAAGCCTAAAATATTCAAGTATTGGCAAAGTACTGTTGAATGGTCATGCCATTTAAAAAGCTGGATTCATACCAAAAAAAAAGCAAAAGTCACAATTTTAGCAAGTTTGAAAAAAAGTCTGGACACTTACCTAGAATTTCAGCTCCACACACAAGACAAGAATATGTCTGGTTTTGCAAATAAATGAAAGACTGAGTTCCCATAGCAATGGGTTGGCAAAGGGGCTGCATTAAATAGCTGATTTTAGGGAAGTGTTTTGGCTAGGGAATTTTTTGAGAGTAAAGGTATAGTAAACTGCTAGCACGGCCCTTCATTCTGCATTAATTCTGATTTAAACTGATATAAAATAAATAGTTTAACTGTTGTCCAAAACATGCAGATTCTAAGCACCGGGAGAGATTCCTTTTGGCTATGGCACATCCTAACAAATCTCTCATGGGTATGTTATGCCTAAGGCAAAAAACCTACATCCCTCATCCGTCCCATGTAGACTGTAGTGGACTTTGAGGTTTTATGTGAACTTGCTTAGATCAGTGTAAGAAGTGGACAAAACTAGACCTCAAAATAGAGTTGAGGGAATTTCAGAACTTTCTTTCAAAGCTCATGTTTGTAACCTATGTCCAGCTTTAAAGCATTAATTAAAGCATTTAGTACAGTTTCAGACAAGAGCAATTGCTGATTTGCCACATATTTCTTGAGAAGCTACAAGCCATGATGTTGCATCCTACAGGATGAGAACTCTGCAGTACAAAACTTCTGACTGTTGACATAATGTATCCTGTACCATAGCTCTTTGCAGCCAAGTCTTTCAGAGGCACTTTTTACAAAATTTCCTCAGCATTTGCCATGAAACTGGTGTAAAATAGTAATTACCTCTTATAAGATTTATCTACATTCCCTCAACGAAGAACTATAGTCAAGAACTAGCCTGGCTATGAATGCTAAGTGGAAGCAATCTGAAGCAAATCATAGAATTGTAAAATCAACTAGGTTGGAAAAGACCTTTAAGATCATCAAGTCCAAAAATGTTAGCATTGAACAATTCTGCTGGCTTCAGATGCAAGCTGCCTTTCCTTTTTATTTTTGTTAGTGAAATACATTAATAAATGTATTTTTTTTTTTTAATTACAAGTTCCATTTTGTAGCACTTCTCTAATGTGACTTGGGCTTATATAGGAAAATTAACTGGAGACTGTGCTCTTAAAACATCAAATTGACCCAGCACTGGATTTCAGTCCAAAATACAATGATACAGTTAACTTCCTTTCCACACACAGTTAACTTTACTTTGCTTCAAGGAAAAACATAGATTTAAGGGTTCAGTTCTTTCCTGAAGTAGGGTGTATATTGGATTTCAAATTATGAATGAGTTTCAAGATCCCTCCTGGGTTCCTTCCCAATAAATGATGTCTTAATAGGCTCTTGGATGATGCTACCTGACCTGCCTACTTCTACATGTCTACCTAAAGCTGGACAGTTACTATTCTGGCCTCCTGTGCTCTCCACTCATTCTGGTCATGAAACTGCAGGGTGGCTCTTGTGGAGGAGATCAGGGCTGTCCTGCTCTGGTCACAGCCAATTCCAGCTGGCAATGGACCCACCATGTTCCAAAGCAGAGCCCATTAGCCACGTGAGTGGTGACTGAAAATACACTGAGGAAAGAGCAGAAAATGCCAAAGGGGAGGGGACAAACCTGGGAGGGAACATCAGAGGGGACAAAGAGGGAACAAAACAAAAAGGATAGAAACAAGGGAATGAGGAAACAACACGGTCAGATGTGTTGGAGGTGCTCCATGACTGAGCAGGCACACCCCAAAAGGGACTGTAGCCCACAGACAGACCACGCTGGAACAGAGAAAACAAGTAAGAAGGAAGCAACAGTGGAAGAAAAGGGTGAGAAGCAAGGAGAAGCAGAGAGAGACCACTACATCCTGACCTCAACCCTCTGTGCCACTCATTGTTTCATCAAAGGGACTGTGCAACCTGTGGAGATAACAAGAGGTGAGGAGGTGTGTCTGGAGTGCAACTGAGCCTGGGAAAGGGGAAGGAAAGTTGTTTTAATGTTTGTCTTCTTTGCTTCCCAATACCCAAATCAGCAATGAAATATATTATGGCAATAAGTCAAATTCCCAGAGTATGCAAGCAGCTGTGTACCTGTGTGGTGCTGGCTGAGGCCAACACGCCCCAGTAGTAAAAGAGGGTGAAGGTCGAGAAATTAAAGCTAATGCTTTTAACATCATTAAAAAAATCAATCTTCCTAACTCAAATTGCTCAATCAGAACATCCTCTTTTCATGCAACAGGCTACACCATATGCAGGTCAGCAAAAGGTTTTTTTAAGAGGAGATGGGAATGTGCCGTATGTAGGACAAACACACAGCAAAACAAAAAAAAAAAGAGCAAAACCAGCTGTCTCATAGGGTAGTTTTAACTTCTGTAACCCATTTGTACATTGCATTTTTGGCCCATAAAAAGCTCAGAGCAGGGGCTTAGGCTACCTTTCTGTGAAGCCTGTAAGCGTTCAGAAGTGATGGAGTAAGGTACAGCTCAGGCCTGAGTGTCAGCTAACACTACTGCTCACTCCTCAATGAGTCACAGTACAGTCAAGGCATGTTGGTCTCTACCAAGAAACGTTATTACAGAAGAAAGCCTGCTTTGATTTTGGCATTGGATGAGAAGATGGATTCCAGATACAAGCCTGAGAAAGAGAACTTAGTAATCACATTTTAATGTCTAAAAAAATTGATGTGCCTGGTATCAAAATTAACTGGTATCAGTTAGAAAACACATCAGGCTCTTCTCCTTCCTCCACGTTTTAAAAATAAACTTCCAACAACAGAATGATTGTTTAATTTTCAGAACTTTCTTTCATCCTTTTTTGGCAATCAAAGCTAGCTCATAGTAATGGTACAGAAAAAGCATTTTCACCTCTTTGAATAAAAAAAGAACTAAATAATCAAATACAGCGCTTGTTGAAGGGCTTGAGAAAGCATAAATACTCCTGCATGAGGCATTGCTCAAATGCAGAGTGAAAACCAGCCTCTCCTCTCTTAAAGGAATGTAAAACTTGAAAAGGCAAGTTTTCTCACCAGGCATTTGTAGATTCCTGAGACTTTTTTGAACGTCAGGCAATTTGTAACTGCCCAAATAGCACAGAGAGATCACACAATTGAAGGTATTTCATAGAAAAAAATAACCAAAACAAACAACCGGTTGTAAAAATGATTCTGTCACAGGGAGTCACACGCCCATACACAAAAGATTGCCTACCAACTCAACAATCTCCAGAAATTGCTGAATGTGACAGCCACAGAGAGCTTCTGTGCTTACATATTTGTTCTGGCCCTTGGCAGACCCTTTGATACCCCTCTTCTGGCCATGCAGCAATGTAATAATCTTTGTCATGAATCTTCATGGGTATAATTCACAATAATTACACAGCCACAGATGCTGTCTCCCTGAAAATGGAAGAATTGAGAGATCACATGCCTGTGCTCACCTCCTGAGTCTAACCATGTTGACAGCGAACTTTCAGATCTCTGCCATTGCGCTGCTTCTGGTCTGCTCCATTCAACATTCAGAAGAAACTTGGAAGTTTCTTGCAGCAGCGATGCAGCATTTTCTCTGCACAGGAGGAACATGGATCAACACACAGAGAGCTTTCTTACTTGCAGAGTGCAGTGTTAATCCAGGCTCGACTATTTCACAGTGAATCAGTCTGAAATCTTAACTTCAAATCAGTGAGCTCAGAAAATGCCTGAATGCACATTCTCAGCCCCTGAATACAATGAAAACTCTCCTTAAAAACAAACAAACAAAACCAAAACAGAACAGAACACCAATCACAATAAGGAAATAAATTCTGCTTAATACCAACCTAAATACTATTGTTTACTATGATTTTGGTCAGCTAATTTAGTGTAGAATACATACAGAGAAAGAAAAAAAAGAAACCTCAAAACAAAACAAAAACAAAACCAACCAACCAAACAAACAAAACCACAAAAACAAAAACAAACCTGAAAGGGAACATAAAAACCAAAACCACAGTTACGGCATCCTATCACAAAAGCAAATGAAACTGGGTCTCATTATTCCATTTTTGTTGGGAGACTTTAGTATATGCATTTCAACAAACATCATAATTTGTTCAAATACCAGAAGATGTGGCTGTATCGTAAGTCCAAACTCTTCACTTGCCTTACAAATCATTCTACAAATGGCAAACTTTCTGCAATGCAAAATACAATTATTTATTGTAACTGGTGGAGTTACAGTATTGGTTCCTTAGCTGGTGGAAATTGATATAGAGCCACCAAAGCCAAAGGATCATTGCTGATTTGTACAAACAGAGGTTCTGGCTCATAGTCGATACGAGCCTTACTTTCAGTACAGTAAGGGGAAACTTGCTGCGCCAGCACTAATGCTGCACATTCCTCTCTGACTTCCTGATTTGTTTTAATTCTTTGGCTGTCTTATACAGCATTACATTACATTGGTGGCATTTTTTTCATTTTAATCCTTGCAAGGCTCTTTAAAGTTACTTGAAGGGCAACATTCTTTTAGAAGAGCATTGTCCAACTGTTATCTCCAAATACATGTTATGTACGAAGCTTTTTTCAGTTCTTAAGGAAGAAAAAAGATACTGAAAATGTTTTATGAATTGAATTTTAAGCCTAAAATGAAAGATTATCTCAATCCAACTGTTTTGCCTACCTTTGGTTTCATACCTTTGCATATCATACCTTTGCATATCATACCTTTGCATATCAATTGGGGATTCCCATCTCAGAGTAATGTTTTTAATTTTGATATCGCTTTAAATATTTTGCTTTTAAAACACTTTAATCCCTTTAGAGTTAATAATTTTGTGGACTTTAAAGGTGAAAGAAAAAACGTCTTGCTATTTCTTAAGAAGATACTCTGCTTTTAGACTATTCCAGAATTACATATGATTATCTTAATATAAAAGATATAAACAAAACCACTGATATGTTTGAATTTTAATGTCTTTTTGCTTTAATAACTTATGATGCAACCTTAAAAGATGCGCTTGCATGGCTAGTTTTGCATCTGCAACACATTTTACTAAGAACCATTGAATAATTACTATCATAAACTCAGGTATTTGGATAAATCATTGCAGAGATTAGGCTTAAACATGTAATTAACTCTTCTGGGGCCTAAAAAGGGAAGCGCAGCATGAAGGCTGAAGTTGCGTAAGTGGGAAGATCAGCTCTTCAATGGAAAACCCACATCTAAAGCCCCCAGTTTACAACTTGATCCAATATATTGGTCCAGTTGTCCATTTCAGCAGCACTTCTCAGGAAGCTTCTTCTTTGGCTCCGTATAACCAAAGGAAGTGACTTTCTGCTGGGAAACCCCATGAAGATAGAAAACCAGAAACCACAATAGAAGCACAAGGAACTAATAACAGAAAGTGCTGGGGGGGGGGGGGGGGGGGAGAAAAAAACAAAAGAAAAAACCCCAAAGACCAACAATAAAAAAACCAAACAAACTACTAACTA